ATCAGAGTACATGTAAAATATGCAGTAACTTTAAAACACTTGAAATTTTGGAAAGTTTCCTGACATAATCGATGAGGTCACGGAAAATGTAAACGCACTGGGTGGGGGGTGCCGTATTTGAAAGACTGCTTGCCGTATAGCAAATTTTGGTCATAATTTGACATCGCTGTATTAGCGTAACACCCTAAGGCGAAATGCCATAAAGCGGGGCCTTACTGTATTAGTGCGGTTGTGTTGAATACAACGGTACCATATAGTACCATATGGTACAATGGTGCCATAGGGTGCAATGGTACCATATAGTACAATTGCACCATATGGTATAATGGTACCATATGGTACAATGGTACCATATGACACAATGGTACCATATGATACAATGGTACCATATGGTAGAATATGGTACAATGGTACCATATGATACAATGGTACCATATGGTGCAATGGTTCCTTATGGTACCATATGGTGCAATGGTACCATATGGTACATTGTACCATACAGTACAATGGTACAATGGTACTGTTGTATTAAACACAATAAACACACTTATATTTTCATCATTATTTTGTCTACAATAATTGTTTACAACAAAAATATGCAAAAATGTTGTATATTAGTAATTTTCTATTATATATTTACAAATGTACAGGAACTCAACATGTTCCTTGAGGTGGATGACAAAGCACTTTGTCTGGGAAACTGTGGAGCCAGTAGCTAGCTTGCGTCGCCACTAACTCAGTCTTGCCTGGTGTCTCTTGCCACCAACACCTATTGACCATATGGTACACTGTATCATATGTTACAGGGTACCATATGGTACATTGTACTATATGGTATAAGGTACCATGCAGTACAGGAAAACATATGGCGCAAGGTACCATATGGCACAGGGTACCATATGGCACAGGGTACCATATGGCACAGGGTACCATATGACACAGGGTACCATATGACACAGGGTACCATATGGCACAGGGTACCATATGGCACAGGGTACCATATGGCACAGGGTACCATATGGCACAGGGCACCATATGGTGCAGGGTACAATATGGTACAGGGTACCATACAGTACAGGACACCATATGGTACAGATACAAGGATCCCTATGGAAATAAGTAACCATGACTTTTTTGGGTTATCCTAGGATTTTATACGTATGCTGCTTTGTATAATAATCCATTGTATTTGTTTTTTTTTTTTTATTATCACACCGGCCGATTCCCACCAAGGCAGGGTGGCCCGAAAAAGAAAAACTTTCACCATCATTCACTCCATCACTGTCTTGCCAGAAGGGTGCTTTACACTACATATGTACCATTGTACCATATGGTACAATGGTACCATATGGTTCAAAACCATAGAATTCCTCTTCAGCTCCACTTCCATCAGTCTTAGAACTGTAAGCTGTGAAGAGGAGAGTCAGAATTCGCCAGGAGAGTGAGTGGGAAGTGAGAGCTTCCTTGCCGCCAGGCATGATGAACAAAACTATTTTGGCGGCGTTCCCACAATGCCATGCGGGCGTCCAGATTTTTTCTATAGTGTGCACACTGACCACCCAGATCCATAGTCTCAGATGTAGGCCTACCAGCCTTCTCGCGCTAAATTTGACACCACTAGAATTTTGGCGTAGATCTACGGTTTGGACCCTGAACGTAAAGCCATAGATCTACGGGACAGACCCTGAAACGGTTAAAGGCCTCTGGTATTTCACCTAGAATTAAGCTCTTTCTCTGTAGGATAGCGAGGGCTCATGCTAGTGGTATTTTGAACTCCCTCATAAAACCAAACTCCACAAATCTTATCCAGGTGCTCCATCAGTGGGCATGTTATCAATTTTTCTATTAAATTTCACAGGATTAGTCCTAATGTCAGTTATATGATGAGTGGCCTTCAGAGGTAATAAAAAAAAATCTGCATTCTTCACCTCATTGTTACTCATTCCCTTACATGATCAGCACATGAACTTCCTGTCATTAATGATCCAATTCTACAGGTAGCTCTTAAGTTACATTTTATTTTAATATTTTTTAACACATACCATTTACCCACCAAGGTAGAGTGACCCAACAATGAAGAAACACTGTCACCATCACTGTCTTGCCAGAGGTGTGCTAACACTACAGCTCAGATGATCCTCAACATATATGTAGAAAAATTTGGGGTTTCTTGCAATATTCTTTAAGGGTTTTTGATCCCTTTGTGCTTTTTGTGTCTGGTGTGAAAGCTTAAGCTTCAGTTCAGTCTTGCTAATTTCTTGGCTAAACCTACCTTTCTTTCATTGTGATATTCACAATTTAAAAAGTTTGATAACTATTTTTCTTCTGAACAACCTTGCATGCTTTCTTTCTACATGTGATTATCATCTTTCTTATTTTCTCAAGAGGTACATATTTTGTACAGACCTTGAAAGCTTCTGTATTCAGCTTTTTCAAGTACAGTACTATCGAACGCTTCGAGTTTTGACCTATTTTTTCAGACCAAGTTTGTCCCGAGTATCAAACTTGCCCTATGTTTCAAACCACGTACCAGACCTGTCCACCTACCCATGCCTGCCTGCATCCCTGCGCAGGCATCATGAGCCAGTCTGGCTTTGTTTATGCTTGAGTGAACACTAACCTGCGTGCTCATTCAAACATTTCACTATTACTTCATTGTGTTTGGTGCTTGTTCATTAACCCTTAAACTGTCCAAACATATATCAACGTTTACGTGTGTAGCGCTCCGATCTTGATTTTCTCCATTTGAAAGCATGGAAAAAACGCAGATCTACGTTTGGACAGTTTAAGGGTTAAGTGCAACTGTGAAATAAGCTACATGGTGGTGATAATGGATGGTGGTGGATGGTGGTGGATGGTGGTGGATGGTGGTGGATGGTGGTGGATGGTGATGGTGGTGGATGGTATTGGTGGATGGTGGTGGTGGTGGTGGATGGTATTTGTGGTGGTGGATGTATTGGTGATGGTGTGGTGGGGATGGTTGGTGGTGGTGTGGTGGATGGATATAGTGGTGGAGTGTGTGGTGGAAGTATTGGTGGATGGTATGGTGGTGGTGGTGGTGGTGGATGGTATTGGTGGATGGTATTGGTGGTGGTGGTGGTGGTGGATGTATTGGTGGATGGTTGGTGGATGGTATTGGTGGATGGTGGTGGATGGTATTGGTGGATGGTATTGTGGATGGTGTGGATGGTATTGGTGGATGGATGGGGTGGTGGTGGATGGTATTGGTGGATGGTGGTGGATGGTATGGTGATGTATTGGTGGATGGTGGTGGATGGTATTGGTGTGATGGTGGTGGTGGTGGATGGTGGTGTGTGGTGGTGGTGGTGGTGGATGGTGGTGGTGGTGGTGGTGGTGGATGGTTGGTGGTGGTGGTGGATGGTGGATGGTGGTGGTGGTGGATGGTGGTGGTGGTGGTGGTGGTGGATGGTGGTGGATGGTGGTGGTGGTGGTGGTGGTGGTTGGTGGTGGTGGTGGTGGTGGTGGTGGTGGTGGTGGTGGGTGGTGTGTGGTGGTGGTGGTGGTGGATGGTGGTGGATGGTGGTGGTGGATGGTGGTGGATGGTGGTGGATGGTGGTGGATGGTGGTGGATGGTGGTGGATGGTGGTGGTGGTGGTGGATGGTGGTGGGTGGTGGTGTGTGGTGGTGGTGGATGGTGGTGGTGGTGGATGGTATTGGTGGATGGTGGTGGGTGGTGGGATGGTATTGGTGGATGTGTGGTGGTGGTGGTGGATGGTATTGGTGGATGGTGGTGGTGGTATTGGTGGATGGTGGTGGTGGTGGATGGTATTGGTGGATGGTGGTGGTGGTGGATGGTATTGGTGGATGGTGGTGGTGGTGGATGGTATTGGTGGATGGTGGTGGATGGTATTGGTGGATGGTGGTGGATGTGTATTGGTGGATGTGTGGTGGTGGGTGGGGATGGTATTGGTGGATGGTGGTGGTGGTGGATGGTGGTGGTGGTGGATGGTATTGGTGGATGGTGGTGGTGGTGGATGGTATTGGTGGATGGTGGTGGTGGTGGATGGTATTGGTGGATGGTATTGGTGGATGGTTGATGGTGGATGGTGATGGTGGTGGATGGTATTGGTAGATGGTGGTGGATGATAATGGTGGATGGTGTGGTGGTGGATGATATTGGTGGATGGTGGTGGTGGTAGATGGTATTGGTGGATGGTAGTGGTGGTGGATGGTTGGTGGTGGTAATGGGGTGGTGGTAAATGGTGGTGGTGGTAAATGGTGGTGGTGGTAAATGGTGGTGGTGGTAAATGGTGGTGGTGGTAAATGGTGGTGGTGGTAAATGGTGGTGGTGGTAAATGGTGGTGGTGGTAAATGGTGGTGGTGGTATAATGGTGGTGGTGGTAAATGGTGGTGGTGGTAGATAGTGGTGGTAATGTTATTTTATATGTTTATTTAAATGTTTATTTATCTATTACTAATTGTACTAAGTATGTTTCTGTGTATGTAAAACTATAATTAATCTCTATAAAATGTATTTTTTGTGAATATTTTTGAGTGTCTGGAATGGATTAATTGTATTTACATTATTTCTTATGGGAAATACCGCTTCGAGTTTCAAACGTTTCGATTTTAGAACTAGCTTCTGGAATGGATTAAGTTCGAAACTTGGGGTTCCACTGTATTGGTGAGGGCTTAGTTTGTCCAGGGAATTCTCCAGCTGTTCAAGTTTAATTAACTGAACATTCTTTCTTGTACACTATTTCTGGAGTGTACTCTCAAAATAACTGAGTTTCAAGTAATGAATTTAGAACATGTGACAGATGAATTACTTACCAAAACTTTGCTGAACTGTACTTAACATCTCTCCACTGAACTCTACTTAACATCTCTCCACTGAACTCTACTTAACATCTGTCCCATTAAAAAGATGTAATTAATACTGTACTAATTTTATGTTAAGATCTGCCATTAGCAGTGCTATTGCTAATGCAGATTCTTTAGAATTTAAACTATAATAGAAGTGTAGACATTTACTGTACCTGTCTTTTATCATAGCTGGTCGAGGCCAGATGACCCAGCAGGAGAGAGAAGAGTGTAGGGAGGATCTCTCTTAAGGTCTTGGGAGTGTTAGTGACCACAACCTTCCATACATGCAGAGCTGCTTGTCTCACCAGTACTGCAACATCTGAACGACCCATGTAGAGTCCAGCTAACACTCGATTGCGCCGCTCCTCTCCAAGGATGTCTATTATAGCCTGATGAATGTAAAAAGCAACAGTATTGGAATAAATATTTGATCATAAAAACAAATTTTGCCCAAGTTGTTTTAGGGCTATAATAAATTAAATGAGCAAAAAAAATAATGAAATTTCCTGAACTATGTACAAGATAATCTTCTCATTTGCTAAAACAAGCAAAATAAAAACAATGTTTGAGAAACATTTAAAATGTCTTATTTAACACATTAGCCACCTCATAACAGGGTAGTCTGCGTAACAGTAAATCTTCAGAATAAAAATTCTAAATGGATAGCAAAAGTAATATAAGAGAAAAATGTTATTTTAGTGCCAAGAATGTCTGTCTTGTTTATTCTGGACCCTATTTTCAAATTGGCATTTGAAATTTGGTTGAAATTTGCCAAATTGCAAATTTCTGACCACTTTATTGGGTAGCTGAAATCGGTAAATGGGCACGTCTCCGGAAGCACACATCGACCTGAGAACTGTTGCAGTATATGGGCGCCAGGCAAACCTCAGAGTGGCATTCCGATGCCTAGGTAAGGAATCATTCAAGATTCTGTACGACCGTGTACATCAGGCCCATACTGGAGTATGCAGCACTAGTTTGGAACCCATACCTGGTCAAGCATGTCAAGAAATTAGAGAAAGTGCAAAGGTTTGCAACAAAGCTAGTTCCAGACCTAAGGGGAATGTCCTACAAAGAAAGGTCAAGGGAAATCAGCCTGACAACACTGGAGGACAGGAGGGTTAGGGAGGATATGATGACGACATACAAAATACTGTGAGGAATAGATATGGTGGACAGAGACAGGATGTTCCAGAAATAGAACACAGAAACAAGGAGCCAAAATTGGAAGTTGAAGACTCAGATGAATCAAATGGATGTTAGAAGCATTTCTTCAGCCATAGAGTTATCAGGAAGTGGAATAGTCTGGCAGATGATGTAGTGGAGGCAGGAACCATACATAGTTTTAAGACAAGGTATGAAAAAGCTCATGGAGCAGGGAGAGAGAGGACCCAATAGCGGTCAGTGAAGAGGTGGGGCCAGGAGCTAAATCTTGACCCCTGCAACCACAAATTGCTGAGTACAAATAGATAAGTACACCCAACACACACACACACACACACACACACCCGACATGCGTGCACACACACACAAAAAAAAAAAAAGGATGGTGGTTCAGAAGGGAAGTCAAGGGCTCAGAGGATCAGAGGAAAATGGTTCTGGTAAGGAAGAATGGATGGAGGAGCACGTAAAAGGATGGAGCAAGATTGAGGGAGCAAACTAGGTGAGCTTTCTGCATAAATGGATGAGAGGATAGAGGCAGAGAAGAAATGGGAGTTGCAAGCTAAACCTCAGAAGCCAGGATAAGGGCCCTAGAATATGAGGTAAAAAGTCTGAAGCGAGTCACAGAGTTATTGCCAAGAGATGACATAGTACCTGAAGCAGGTACAACCCCTGCTGGATGTGGAGCCCAATGGCAAGGAAGGAGACATGACATATGCTAAGGCCCTACCAGACCACTAAGCAGGGCTGTGGAATGAAGGGGGAGAAGGTGGGGACAGGGTTAGGTCCTATGCAGAGGCACAACCATGCCACCAAGAACTACAAGAAAAAATAAGGGAAACTGTGGACATATACAAATGAGACCCAGAGGCACAGAGTGAAAGACAATGGGAGGAGGAAAGAGAGGGATCAGTGTTCATTCGTGGGCTTCTGGAGAGCGAGAGGACGCACAATGAAAGACAGCAGAAAGAAAAAAAGGAGATTGAAATCATCATCAAGGAAATAGGCGAGGAGGATGTGAATGAGGTAGTAAATTTTCAGAGAATTGGGGGGTACTTGAATTTAAGAAATCGTCCGGTCAAGCTGATTTTCAAGACTGAAACAGTGCGAAACAGGATCCTGCAAGAGAAACCATGACTGAAGGAATCATCAACATACAAGAGGGTGTTCCAAGACCAGGACTGAACAAAAACAGAATGGCAGCAGTTGAGGGAGAGGATGCAGATACGAAAGGGGCTAGGAAGGGAGACAAGGACAGAATCAGCAGAGGACAACCAGAGCAAGGCAAAGCAAGCACACACACAGCCACCCCACAACCAAACACACTATCCCGACCCAAACCACAAACCACACTTACAGTCCCCACCCAACACTACATCATAGAATCCCACAGCACATCACCAGGTCCCCTACCCTCACAGAACCCCCAGAACATAGTGTTGGAGAGGAAACTGAAGGCATGGTACACCAATGCTGATGGAAAACAAAGAAATGCGAGGAATGGCACGAAAGAGGCATCACCGGACATCATAGCTCTCACAGAAACCAAACTCACACGAATGACAACATGCCATCTTTCCAACAGGATATCAGATCCTGAGGAAAGATAGAGAGAACAGAGGGGGTGGAGGAGTGGCACAGCTCATCAAAAACCGATGGGATTTTGATGAGCTGGTGAGAGGAGACAGAGGAGAAGCAAGAGACTACATAATAGGAACACTTCACTCTGGAGGTCACAAGGTGGTAATTGCAGTGACATATAACCCACTACAAAGCAGTAGCAGGCCAAGGCAAGAGTATGATGAGAGTAAAAGAGCGATGGTTGACAGACTAGCTGAGGTGGCCAGAAGGGCTCAAGCGAGCAGGGAAAAGCTACTGATCGTGGGTGACTTCAACCACAAGGAAATTGACTGGGAGAACCTGGACCCACATGGGGGCCCAGAAACGTGGAGGGCTAAGATGATGGAGGTGGTACTGCAAAACCTCATGTACTAGCATGTAAGGAACACTACCAGAGAGGAGAGGATGAACCAGCAAGACTGGACCTAGCATTCACCTTGAGTAGTGCAGACATTGAGGATACCACATATGAGAGCCCCCTCAGGGCCAGTGACCATGTGGTTCTGAGCTTTGAATACATAATAGAGTTATAAATGGAGACAGAGGTAGGAAGGACAGAACAAGTGAAGCCAAACTACAAGAAAGGGGACTGCACAGGCATGAAGATTTTCCTACAGGGGATTCAGTGGGACAGAGAACTGGCAGGGAAGTCAGTAAATGAGATGATGGGATATGTGGCAACAATATGCAAGGAAGCTGAGGAAAAGTTTGTACTGAAGGGAAACAGAAATAACGGGAAAGTCAGGATGAACCCTTGGTTTACCCAAAGGTGTAAAGAAGCCAAAACCAAGTGTGCTAGAAAGTGGAAGAAGTATAGAAGGCAAGGAGAGAAGTCGTAGAGCCAGAAATGAATATGCACAGGTAAGAAGGGAGGCCCAACGACAATATGAAAATGACATAGCAGCAAAAGCCAAATCTGAACCAAAGCTGTTGTACAGCCACATCAGGAGGAAAACAACAGTCAAGGACCAGGTAATCAGGCTAAGGAAGGAGGAGACATCACAAGAAGTGACTGTGAAGTATGTGAGGAACTCAACATGAGATTCAAAGAAGTGTTCACAGACAAGACAGAAGGGACTCCAGAAAGATGGAGAGGTGGGGTACACCACCAAGTGTTGGACACAATACATACAACTGAGGAAGAAGTGAAGAGGCTGCTGAGTGAGCTAGATACCTCAAAGGCGAATACCTGAGGTATGGAAGACAGCAAACGTAGTCACAATCTTTAAAAAAGGAGACAGACATGAAGCATTAAACTACAGACCAGTGTCACTGACATGTATAGTATGCAAAGTCATGGAGGAGATTATTAGAAGAAGAGTGGTGGAACACCTAGAAAGGAATGAGCTTATGAATGACAGCCAACATGGTTTCAGTGACAGGAAATCCTGTGTCACAAACCTACTGGAGTTCTCTGACAGCAGTAAAACAAGAGAAAGAGGGATGGGTAGATTGCATTTTCTTGGACTGTAAGAAGGTGTTTGACACAGTTCCACACAAGAGATTAGTGCAAAAGCTGAAGAACCAGGTAGGGATAACAGGGAAGGTGCTACAATGGATCAGGGAATACTTGTCAGGAAGACAACAGCGAGTCATGGTACGTGGGTAGGTGTCAGACTGGGCACCTGTGACGAGTGGAGTTCCACAGGGGTCAGTCCTGGGACCAGTGCTGTTTCTGGTATTTGTGAATGACATGACAGAAGGAGTAGACACCGAAGTGTCCCTGTTTGCAGATGATGTGAAGTTGATGAGAAGAATTCAATCAGTCGAGGACCAGGCAGAACTACAAAGGGATCTGGACAGGCTGCAGGCCAGGTCCAGCAATTGGCTCCTGGAGTTCAACCCCACCAAGTGCAAAGTCATGAAGATTGGGGAAGGGCAAAGAAGACTGCAGACGGAGTGCAGTCTAGGGGGCCAGAGACTACAAACCTCACTCAAGAAAAAGGATCTTGGGGCGAGTATAACACCAGGCACATATCCCGAGGCACACATCAACCAAATAACTGCTGCAGCATATAGGCGTGTAGTTAACCAAAGAGCAGCATTCCGTTATCTTAATAAGGAATTGTTCAGGACCCTGTGCACTGTGTACGTCAGGCCCATATTGGAGTATGCAGCACCAGTTTGGAACCCACACCTAGCAAAGCACGTAAAGAAACTAGAGGAAGTGCAAAGGTTTGCAACAAGACTAGTCTCGGCACTAATGGGTATGTCCTATGAGGAGAGGTTAAGGGAAATCTACCTGACAACACTGGAGGACAGGAGAGATAGGGGGAACATGATAATGATATATAAAATACCGAGAGGAATTGACAAGGTGGACAGAGACAGGATGTTCCAGAAATGGGACACAGTAACAAGGGGCCACAGCTGGAAGTTGAAGACTAAGATGAATCACAGGGATGTTAGGAAGTATTTCTTCAGTCACAGAGTTGTTAGGAAGTGGAATAGTTTGGGAAGCCATGTAGTGGAGGCAGGATCCATTCATAGCTTTAAGAAGAGATATAAGAACATAAGAACATAAGAAAGGAGGAACACTGCAGCAGGCCTGTTGGCCCATACTAGGCAGGTCCTTTACAATTCATCCCACTAACAAACATTTGACCAACCCAATTTTCAATGCCACCAAAGAAACAAGCTCCGATGTGCAAGTCCTCTCAAATCCAACCCCTCCCACTCATGTATGATAAAGCTCATGTAGCGGGAAGAGTGACCCAGTAGCGGTCAGTGAAGAGGCAGGGCCAGGAGCTGTGACTCAACCCCTGCAACCACAACTAGGCGAGTACACACACACACACACACACACACACACACCTGCCTCAGAGTGAAGACACTCGCTCTATAATTCTGAAAGACAAACTGACCATCTATTATGGAGATATGATGATCAATTAATACACAAGTGAGTGTTTTGGCTGTATAGAGGGAAAAATATATAAATAAATTCAAACAGAATGATTTATAGTTAAATCACAAAGTAGAAACTAAGTTCAAATGCTACAATGACTTGCAATATATATGATGTGTGATAACTTGTAGTGTTCTACAATGATGTGTGATAACTTGTAGTGTTCTACAATTATGTGTGATAACTTGTAGTGTTCTACAATGATGTGTGATAACTTGTAGTGTTCTACAATGATGTGTGATAACTTGTAGTGTTCTACAATGATGTGTGATAACTTGTAATGTTCTACAATGATGTGTGATAACTTGTAATGTTATACAATGATGTGTGATAACTTGTAATGTTCTACAATGATGTGTGATAACTTGTAATGTTCTACAATGATGTGTGATAACTTGTAATGTTATACAATGATGTGTGATAACTTGTAATGTTCTACAATGATGTGTGATAACTTGTAGTGTTCTACAATGATGTGTGATAACTTGTAATGTTCTACAATGATGTGTGATAACTTGTAGTGTTCTACAATGATGTGTGATAACTTGTAATGTTCTACAATGATGTGTGATAACTTGTAATGTTATACAATGATGTGTGATAACTTGTAATGTTCTACAATGATGTGTGATAACTTGTAATGTTCTACAATGATGTGTGATAACTTGTAGTGTTCTACAATGATGTGTGATAACTTGTAATGTTCTACAATGATGTGTGATAACTTGTAATGTTCTACAATGATGTGTGATAACTTGTAATGTTCTACAATGATGTGTGATAACTTGTAATGTTCTACAATGATGTGTGATAACTTGTAATGTTCTACAATGATGTGTGATAACTTGTAATGTTCTACAATGATGTGTGATAACTTGTAGTGTTCTACAATGATGTGTGATAACTTGTAATGTTCTACAATGATGTGTGATAACTTGTAATGTTCTACAATGATGTGTGATAACTTGTAGTGTTCTACAATGATGTGTGATAACTTGTAGTGTTCTACAATGATGTGTGATAACTTGTAATGTTCTACAATGATGTGTGATAACTTGTAATGTTCTACAATGATGTGTGATAACTTGTAATGTTCTACAATGTGTGATAACTTGTAGTGTTCTACAATGATGTGTGATAACTTGTAATGTTCTACAATGATGTGTGATAACTTGTAATGTTCTACAATGATGTGTGATAACTTGTAGTGTTCTACAATGATGTGTGATAACTTGTAATGTTCTACAATGATGTGTGATAACTTGTAGTGTTCTACAATGATGTGTGATAACTTGTAGTGTTCTACAATGATGTGTGATAACTTGTAATGTTCTACAATGATGTGTGTTAACTTGTAATGTTCTACAATGATGTGTGATAACTTGTAATGTTCTACAATGATGTGTGATAACTTGTAATGTTCTACAATGATGTGTGATAACTTGTAATGTTCTACAATGATGTGTGATAACTTGTAATGTTCTACAATGATGTGTGATAACTTGTAATGTTCTACAATGATGTGTGATAACTTGTAGTGTTCTACAATGATGTGTGATAACTTGTAGTGTTCTACAATGTGACAACATATGACAGGTTTTAAATAAAATGTACATGTTATGGTGAGAGGCGGTGGCGGCGGCGGCTGTGGCAGGAGCCATGACAATGGCGTTAACAGTCAAGAACACTTACCCGCTGTGAATGTTCAGTACCAAAGTTATCGTCCTCATGAGCAGTATCAGTAGTCATTTTACCAGACACACCTGACACCTTGAACAGAAGATCACCTAGCAGCTGCACTGAACTGAAACAACAACAGTATACATTACCACTGTAATATTTTATTTTTATTAATGTACTGAACATTCATGTCTAACATTCAACACCCACCCACCCACCCTCCTCCCACCTACCTACCCTCCCTCCCACCTACCCTCCCTCCCTCCCACCCACCTACCCTCCCTCCCTCCCACCTACCTACCCTCCCTCCCTCCCACCCACCTACCCTCCGCCCACACCCACCTACCTACCTACCCTCCCTCCTCCCACCCACCCACCCTACCTCCCTCCCTCCCCACCTACCCCTCCTCCCACCTACCTACCCTCCCTCCCTCCCCCACCTACCCTCCCTCCCTACCCACCTACCCTCCCCTCCCTCCCCCTCCCACCTACCCCTCCCTCCCACCTCCTCCCACCCACCTACCTCCTCCCTCCCTCCCACCCACCACCCCTCCCTCCCACCTACCTACCCTCCCTCCCCCTACCTACCTACCCTCCCTCCCTCCCACCTACCTACCCTCCCTCCCTCCCTCCCACCTACCTACCCTCCCTCCCCCCATCTCCACCCACCTACCCTCCCTCCCACCACCTACCCTCCCTCCCACCACCTACCCTCCCTCCCCCCACCTACCTACCCTCCCTCCCACCCACCTACCCCCCTCCCACCCACCTACCCTCCCTCCCACCACCTACCCTCCCACCCACCTACCTCCCCCCACCCTCCTCCCCTACCCTCCCTCACCACTCCGTCTCCCCCACTGCCCCCTACTACCCACCTCCCCTCCCTCTCGTGGTGTCCCATGGCTCAGCTGGCAACACACTCCTCAATCTTCACCATGGGTGGAAATGCTGGTCATGTTTCCTTACACCTAGCAGTAAGTAGGTACCTGGGTGTTGGTCGACTGGTGTGGTTTGCATCCTGGAGGATAACATTAAGGACCCCAACAGAAATCAGACGGAAGTCCTCATTGATGCAGTGATTTTTCTTGGGATATACTGGGTAGCTAACTCACCAGGTTAAAAATCTGAACAAATCTTATCTTAAGCCTTTCTGGGATGATGCCCTCCTTCTCTGCAGCACTACAAATATGCTCAAAGCACAGTCCACTAAGAAAGAGAGATGTAAACTGGTGAAGACCAAGAAACTCAGAACTTCTCCTGAGTGCCAGACAATCCGAAGTGTATAGTCAAGCACTGGCTACATAAATACAAGAAACTCAACTTAAGTTGAATCACACAGTCCACGAGGAAGCTAAACGCAAATAGTCATATTGAATGAACCACAGAATTGATGAAGGGAAAAAATTGGGTGGGGCACTGAGGCATCTGTGGAGACAAAGAACGTTATCCATGAAGGCAAAATTGGTAAGGTATCAGAGTATAGCAATACAAAAAAAAGAGTAGCACTGCCGCAGGCCTGCTGGCCCAAGTTAGGAATGTCTGACTGACACCAGCTCATGTACTTGTCTAACCTATTGTCAAAGCTACCAACGATGTTCGCTTCAGTGACAACTCAGAAGTCTGTTGCATTCATCCACAACTCTACTATCAAACCAGTGCTTTTCCATATCTTTCCTAAATCTAAATTTTTCCAATTTAAACCCATTGTTGAAAGTGCTGACTTTGTAAGATATTTTTAGCACATTTTATATCCATTTATATCCTCCATTTATACACATCAATTATATCAACCCTAATTCTATGCCTTTCTTGAGAGTGTACACTCATAGGTACCAACACTCTAATATGGGTGTGAACAATGGGCTGTGATTGTTGCATCAAGAAGAAGGCTGGAAGTAGTGGAGATATTGTGTCTGAGGGCAGTGTGTGGTATAAATATTATGCAAAGAATTCATAGTTTGGAGATGAGAAGGAAGTATGTGGTCACTAAAAGTATTACCCAGAAGGCTGAGGAGGGGTTACTGAGGTGGTCTGGGTACTGCAAGAGAAAGGAGCAAAAGAGGATGACTTAGTGTATAAATTTGTATTGGCAGGGTAGGTGTCATCCTATGAAAAGCTGGCAGGTGGGGGTAAAGATAATGATGAATGTGAGAGGCTTGGACATCCAACAAGCATGTGTGAGCATGTTACGAGTGGAGGAAAGTGGTTTTTATGGTATCTGCTGGACTTAAGTCCTGGAGGTAGAAAGTACACTGTCTGCACTCTGAAGGTGGGGTGGAGATAGTGCAAGGAACCTGCCTTGAGGTCTGCTCACTTATGGAAATTTTGCTAGCGTATGGAAACAAAAAATCGACCCATCAACTGCTCGTATTTGGAAAAACTCGCATGTGGATGCGCTCACAAGCAGAGTTTCCAACGTATATACAGAAGTGATACAAGGAGGGAAGAGTATATGGAGAGAAAAAGAGAGGCTAAGAGAGTGGTGAAGTAATGTAAAAAGAGAGCAAATGAGAGAGTGGGTGAAATGTTATCAACAAATTTTGTTTAAATTAAGAAAAAGTTTTGAAGTGAGATTAATAAGTTGAGGAAGCCTAGAGAACAAATGGATTTGACAGTTAAAAATGGGAGAGGAGAGTTATTAAATGAAGAATTAGAGGTATCGGGAAGATGGAGGGAATATTTTAAGGAATTGTTAAATGTTGATGAAGATAGGGAGGCTGTGATTTTGTGTATAGGGCAAGGAGGAATAACAAATTGTAGGAGTGAGGAAGAGCCAGTTATGAGTGTGGGGGAGGTTCGTGAGGCAGTGGGTAGAAAGAAAGGGGGTAAGGCAGCTGGGATTGATGGGATAAAGATAGAAATGTTAAAAGCAGGAGGGGATATAGTTTTGGAGTGGATGGTGCTATTATTTAATAAATGTATGGAGAGGGTAAGGTATCTAGGGATTGGCAGAGAGCATGCATAGCTCCTTTGTCTAAAGGCAAAGGGGATAAAAGAGAGTACAAAAATTATAGGGGAGTAAGTCTGTTGAGTGCTAGGTAGTAAGTTGGTAGACAGCAGCTGCCCAGGGAGGTACTACCGTCCTGCCAAGTGAATGTAATATGAAAGCCTGAAATTGTTTTACATGGTAGGATTGCTGGTGTTTTTTCTGTCTCATAAACATGCAAGGTTTCAGGTACGTCTTGCTACTTCTGCTTACACTTAGGTCACACTACACATACATGTACAAGCATATGTATACACACCCCTCTGGGTTTTCTTCTATTTTCTTACTAGTTCTTGTTTATTTCCTCTTATCTCCATGGGGAAGTGGAACAGAATTCTTCCTCCGTAAGCTATGTGTGTTGTAAGAGGCGACTAAAATGCCAGGAGCAAGGGGCTAGTAACCCCTTCTCCTGTACATATTACTAAATGTGAAAGGAGAAACTTTTGTTTTTCCTTTTGGGCCACCCCGCCTCGGTGGGATACGGCCGGTGTGTTGAAAGAAAGAAAGAAGTCTGTTGAGTATACCTGGTAAAGTATACGGTAGAGTTATTATTGAAAGAATTAAGAGTAAGACAGAGAGTAGGATAGCAGATGAACAAGGAGGCTTTAGGAAAAATAGGGGGGGTGTAGACCAAGTGTTTACAGTGAAACATATAGGTGAATAGTATTTAGATAAGGGTAAAGAGGTTTTTGTGGCATTTATGGACTTAGAAAAGGTGTATGACAGGGTGGATAGAGAAGCAATGTGGCAGATGTTGCAGGTGTATGGTATAGGAGGTAGGTTACTGAAAGCAGTGAAGAATTTTTACGAGAAGAGTGAGGCTCAGGTTAGAGTATGTAGGAGAGAGGGAGATTTTTCCCAGTAAAAGCAGGCCTTAGACAAGAATGTGTGATGTCACCATGGTTGTTCAATATATTTATAGATGGAGTTGTAAGAGAAGTGAATGCTAGGGTCTTGGCAAGAGGTGTGGAGTTCATTCATTCATTCATTCATTCATTCATTAGAGATTCGCCGGTACTTCCGGCCCGGGTCTTCTCCATATGGTGACCCCGGCTGTGGCCCCCGGCTGGGGGTGTCGTTCATCAACTTCTTTCTTCTGTCTTCTTTCTTGGGCCCTCCGGCTGGAGGGTAACATCATCATCTCTCTTGCGGCGACTTCCCGGAGGGGAGTGTCATCTCACTTCTCATCTTCATCAGCAGGCGTCACTTGGTCTTCGTCAGCAGGCGTCCACTTGGGCTTCATCAGCAGGCGTCTCTAGGACCCAGGGTCTTTGGGCGCTTGTTGCCCCATCAAGTTGTTGATAGTGTGGCATGGGCTCTAGGTAAGTTCAGACTTTTACCTAGTAAACAGGTACAGGCTCCATTGGTTTTTTTTTTTTTAAGCGGTGGGGGAGGGGAGGTACGGGAGTGAAAGAAAGGAAGAGTAGGAGAGTCAAAAGATGGAGAGGTAGTGGCGAATCCTTGTCTGTATGTGGCATCATCATCGAGGCGGTGGGTGGGCAGCCAGGATGGGGATGAGAGTTCACAGGTCTCGGACGGCCAGGTACACCAGCCAGGCTGCGGTGTTTTCTCGGGTCGGGTCCCCAGGTGCCATTGGGAAGTGCCTCCATCGGAGTGGCACCGTTGTGGGACAGTCGAGGAGGTAGTGCACTAGTGGCTTGGGGACCATCTGGTTGCAATGGCAGCAGCGCTCCTCTCGCATGCGTTCGATGAGTCTTCTGGCAGTAGGGTAGCTAAGTCGCACCCGGTGGATCCCTACCTGCAACTTCCTGTCTAGCCTCCGCATGCATGGCGGGGGCTCCCCTCGGGTCGCCCTGTCATACCAGATCCGGCTTCGCAACGTGCCCAGCCCTGGTAGCGGGCGTCTGGCTGCAGTGGCTGCCCACAGGTCTACCTGCCTGCGGCTGATGGCGATGGTGGTCGCTGGCTGGGCCTCAAGAGTTGCTGACTTCGCCGCGCCATCCGCCACATCATTCCCAGCGAGGTCGATGTGGCTCGGAATCCAGTTGATTGTTGCTTGCTGTCCCTGCTCATTAAGTGTCAGCAGGTCCTTCCTGATGGCAGTAATTAGCCGGATGTTGTCCCTGGGCTCCCTGTGCATGATGGCCTGGATCGCCGCCCTGGAGTCGACGTGAATGACTGGGGGTCGCCGATGATCCAGGAGCACGTGTTGCAGGGCCCTCTGGATGGCATGGAGTTCTGCCTGTAGGATGGTGCAGTGATCCGGGAGTCGCCATCCAGCCGTCAGGGTGGCATTGTGTACCCCGGCACCTGTGCGGCCAGCCTCTGGATCCCGGGAACCATCGGTGTAATATACGGTGCACCCAGAGTGCTCTGCTGCTGCAATACTCATTGCAGCCTTTTGCTGCAGCACGTGTTGTGGACAGCGACGCTTGCTAACTGGGAGGTCTTGGATGTGGACCACAGCTGCTTCTGGTGCCCAGGGCGGGAGTACAGAGTACCCCACCACAGGCCGGTCACAGCCCTTGTCCACGATAAGCGCCATGGGGAGGAGTTTGCTCGCTACATCTGCCGCCGACCACACCCACAGCCGGCCGGAAGACTCCCTGAGGTCTCCCTGTTGACGATCAAGAAGGTCCTGCAACAGTCTCTCTCCACCAGGGAGTTGTACATACTTGGCCACCCTCCTGGTGGCCACAAGGGCGATCCTATCGCGTAGGGGCTGCAGTTGAGCTTCATGATTCAGTGGCACGATGTTCGTCCACCTCGGCTCGCCCAGCATGATCCGAGCTGCAGAATTTTGGACGACGTCGAGTCTTCAGAGGTGTGAAGGGTGCGCATGGACCAAGGTAAGTGCCCCATGGTCGATAAGAGAGCGCACCGCCTGCATGTAGAACAATCGGAGAATGTCCTGGCTGGCCCCTGACCTAGGGCTGGCGAGGGCCCGCATGGCCGTGACCTGTTGCATGGTCCGTGGATGAATTTGGTAGGGTATGTAAAAGAAGAAAATTAAAAGTGAATATAGGAAAGAGTAAGGTTATGAGGACAACAAAAAGATTAGGTGACGAAAGATTGGATATCAGAATGGAGGGAGAGAGTATAGAGGTGAATGTATTCAGATATTTAGGAGTGGACGTGTCAGCAGATGGGTCTATGAAGGATGAGGTGAATCAGAGAATTGATAAGGGGAAAAGGGTGAGTGGTGCACTTAGGAGTCTGTGGAGACAAAGAACTTTGTCCATGGAAGCAAAAAGGGGAATGTATGAGAGTATAGTTGTACCAACACTCTTGTATGGGTGTGAAGCAAGGGTGATGAATGTTGCAGCGAGGAGAAGGCTGGAGGCTGTGGAGATGTCATGTCTGAGGGCAATGTGTGGTGTGAATATAATGCAGAGAATTTGTAGTTCGGAAATTAGAAGAAGGTGTGGGATTACAAAAACTATTATCCAGAGGGCTGAGGAGGGGTTGTTGAGGTGGTTCGGATGTGTAGAGAGAATGGAACAAAACGGAATGACTTTGAGAGTGTATAAATCTGTAGTGGAGGGAAGGCAGGGTAGGGGTCGGCCTAGGAAGGGTTGGAAGGAGGGGGTAAAGGGGGTTTTGTGTGTGAGGGGCTTGGACTTCCAGCAAGCGTGCATGAGCGTATTTGATAGGAGTGAATGGAGACAAATATTTTTTAATGCTTGACGTGCTGTTGGAGTGTGAGCAAAGTAACATTTATGAAGGGATTCAGGGAAACCGGCAAGTCGGACTCGAGTCCTGAAGATGGGAAGTACAGTGTCTACACTCTGAAGGAGGGGTGTTAATGTTGCAGTTTTATAACTGTAGTGTAAAGCACCCCTCTGGCAAGACAGTGATGGAGTGAATGATGCTGAAAGTTGATCTTTTCCGAGCCACCCTGTCTTGGTGGGAATCGGCCGATGCGTTAATAAATAATAAATAATATACAGTGGTCCCTCGTTTTTTGTAATTAATCTGTTCCTGGAACTGTGACTAATATCGAAATTGACGATTTTCGAATCCACTTTCCCCATAAGAAACAATGTAAATCCAATTAATTCATTACAGACACCCAGAAGTATCAATAATTTTTTTTTTACCTAAAAGATAGATGTACACACACAAAAGAATGAACATTCAACATGACAGTTACCTTTATTGAAGGTTGTTGTTGATGAACGGAAGACAGGGAGGAGGAGAGTGGGAAGAGAGGTTATTGTTCGGAAGGGAAATCCCCCTCCATAAGGACTCTAGGTCACTTCACGGGTCACTTCCCAAGCAAAAATATAGATTTACATGCAGAAAGGAATACCAAATAAATGTAAAGCCCTAATAAAATGTAAATGAACATTGGTAATAGGGGTAGTTGATGAGTGGAATGGTCTGCCTAGTAGGGTGATCAAAGCTAAAACATTGGGTAGTTTCAAATTTAGGTTGGATAAATACATGAATGAGAGGGGTTGGTTTGAATCGGGCTTGCAAATGAGTAAATAGGTTTATCAAAGCTTATTGCTTGGGTAGCAGTTATGCTGTTAGTGGGTTGGATTTGTGAAGGACCTGCCTAGTATGGGCCAACAGGCCTATTGCAGTGTTCCTCCTTTCTTATGTTCTAAAAGCTATGGCTTAGGTAGTTTCAAATTTAGGTTGGATAAATACATGAGTGAGAGGGGTTGGATTTGAGTCAGACTTGCACCTGAGCTTATTGCTTGGGTAGCATTTGTTCTGTTAGTGGGTTGGATTTGTGAAGGACCGGCCTAGTATGGGCCACCAGGCCTGTTGCAGTGTTCCTCCTTTCTTAAGTTCTTATGTTCTTATTTAACATCACACTAACCTTTATTGAAGACTTGGTTGTGTGAGGAGGGATGGCGAGTTTATTGTTGGAGAATATGACACTAATATCAACTCTGCGGCTTATTTATCTATCACAATTCAACTAATATGACATAATAAACAATACTAATAACATAGAAACATGGAATATACTCTAGAATGAATAAAATAAGTCATTATGTATGTCACAAGGTGTTGTGTTGTGTTGTGTTGTTGGGTGTATAAGGGCCATTGAGAGTAAGCCATCCATAATGGAGGTGAAGCAGCAGCTGGGGCGGCGGTGTTTTCTGTAGCCCTATATAACTCCAACAACATTGGAGGAGTTAGTAGTATTGCTGAATCACTGAAGAAGGCGCCCTCTGCCACCATCACAGCCACTACCACCGTCTACCACCATCACTACCACCTTCTACCACTATTGCAACTGCTACCACCATCACTACCACTTTCTACCATTGTATGTTATTACAACTGCTACCACCATCACTACCACTCTATACCACCATCAACCACTATCACAACTGCTTCCACTCTACCACCACCACCTTTGTATTTTTCTACAAACTTTTTCTTAAATTATGTGTGTTTCTCACATTCTTTACCAAAGGGCTGGCACTAGAAGGTTTCTTTGGAGCCATGGTGACTTATTTAGCAGTTTCAAGCACTAAAATAAATGGAATATTATGAAATGTATCATATGAACTCGTGGGATCATCCTCACTCACTGATAAACAATGGCACACTGGCTGGGAACGGAGTGTAAGACAGCTCAGGGCTGTGTGTACACGTCCCAGACGAGCGACTATTTGAGAGTCAAACGACGATTCACGAGCCAATGTTTTGACGAAAATAACGTTACGATTTTCGAAAATTACGACTATTGAGCCTTACGATTATCGAGGGACCACTGCATATATTTCTTCTTTCTTTCAACAAACCGGCCGTATCCCACTGAGGCAGGGTGGCCCAAAAAGAAAAACCAAAGTTTTTCTTTTTAAATTTAGTAATTTGTACAGGAGAAGGGGTTACTAGCCCCTTGCTCCCAGCATTTTAGTCGCCTCTTACAACACGCATGGCTTACGGAAGAAGAATTCTGTTCCACTTCCCCATGGAGGTAAGAGGAAATAAACAAGAACAGGAACTAGAAAGAAAATAGAAGAAAACCCAGAGGGGTATGTATATATATATGCTTGTACATGTATGTGTAGTGTGACCTAAGTGTAAGTAGAAGTAGCAAGATGTACCTGAAACCTTACACATTTATGAGACAGAAAAATGGACACCAGCAATCCTACCATTGTGTAAAACAATTACAGGCTTTCATTTTACACTCACTTGGCAGGATGGTAGTACCTCCCTGGGTGGTTGCTGTCTACCAGCCTACTACCTAGGTACCTGTATCTTATTCTGCAGTTACCATTAAAGAGGCTGCATAATAACAACGTTATCTTACCTGTATCTTATTCTCCAGTTATCATGGAAGAGTCCAGCCTCCAGCTCTGGCAGCAGTAAAGTAATTGCTGACTCAGCATATGTATTTACTATTCTCTGACCTGCTTTCAGCGCAGTCTCTCGAACAAACTCATTCTCATCTGCAAGTGCCTGAAAAGAGTATTGATTTAAGGTAATATTTCAATTAATATTACTCAGTACGAGCACAGAACATTTACAATGATATTAAGCAAAGAAAGGAAACACATTTACCGTTCCTCATTCTCAACTGTTTCCCAGAACTGAATTGACATCAATCCCAACATAACTACTCATTTACTGTTTAGAGTACAGGGACTGTTCTTCCTGCCTCATCAACTTCATTATTACTCTGTCTACACTACAAATGAACATTAAATACAAACTACAACATGTTCCATCTACTTTAATGTGCTTCCATATCCCAGCTGGATGTTTAAGTTCTTACCTCAAACTCTTTCATGCTTTCCTTCTAACCCTTCATAGGACATCAACACCACCTTTCATCTACCCTAGATTTGTACATCCCTTTTGAAAACTTCTCTTGCTCTATCCTTTCTAAATGACTGAACATTTTCAGTAATACAGTAGACCGTCATTTAACACGGTAGTTATGTTCCTGAAAACACCGTGTAAGATAAAAAAAAAACCGTGTTAGATGAACTGAAGAACTTGTGGGAAAAATAGGGTTATGTTCCTGATAGCCCCAAAAACCCCAAACAACTTTTTTAGGCCTCCACATCTTACAAAAATAAAAGTGAACATGTAATTGTAGTTCAATGTTATGTATTATGTTGTTTTTACTGCTTAAGACTACAAATGTAACAGAAATAACAATATTTCTTACCTTAAATTGTGGGTGCTGATCTTAGTGGATGATTGTGAAGAGAGTGGAGAGTTATGTTGTGGTCCTACTGGACTGAGGTGGATGGTAGAGGTTCTGGTACTTAAGTTGATGGTTGTACTGGAGTGTCTAAGTCATTCTGTCAGTTAAGTCATTCAGTAAGTCAGTCAAGTCATTCAGTAAGTCAGTCAAGTCATTCAGTAAGTCAGTCAAGTCATTCAGTCAGTCAGTCATTCAGTCAGTCAGCCATTCAGTAAGTCTGTCATTCAGTAAGTCAGTCAATCAGTCATTCAGTCAGTCAGTCAGTCACACAAACTTATGTTTACCACTTTTTATGTCTGCAGAGTAACACCTCATGGCAACAGGATGTCTTGTCTAATATCTTTGTTTCCTTCGTTAATTCTAAGACTTAATGAAATGCTTACACCTTTTCTTGCCACTTTGAGCAACACTGGTATGCCTACTGGGTGTCATGATTGCTTGGCAGATACAAGATATAGCAATTAAAAGATCAAAACACAATTCACAATCACAAGCTTGTAGCAGAGAAGTTGGACTGGACACGTATGAAGTACAAATGCTAGGATGGTTGGGTGGTGTTGGGGGTGTGACTGGAGACAGCGGGAGGTCTTTCCCGCTGAACCACAACATGGCAGCCGCTTGAGGGAAAGGGAAGTTTTTTTTCCTTCCCACAAACTGAACCGTGTTAAATTCATCATACGACGTTACATAAAATTGTGCCGCAATTCTTCAATCGTGCTATACCCAAATCGTGCCAAATAAACTCGTGCTAAATGATGGTCTACTGTATGTCATCTACTTCCTGAATAAAACCTTTTATACCAAGTATAATATCTATGTTAATGCTTTCTAATAGCTCTAAGCATTAAGGAATACTGCACCCTAGAAGTGGAAAGCAAACATTCACAGAGAGAACTGAAGTGGGAGGATTGGAGAGAGTACCTAGTGCTTCCTCACCTCACCTAAGACCAGTAATAGGCCTTATCCTGAGCCAAGAAAATATCAATGACCTGCCAATAATATTAATAATATTTTATTTCACCATGATAGAACTGTACATACCTATAATCACAGTAATTCCCAATAATAATGATACAAATGTACAATAAGAAGAGCTACTTAAGCCCCCAGGAGTAATCAAATAAGATTCAACAGGAGTGAGCAATGTCAAGTGGTTTTCATGATTTAACATGATGTTGGTGTGAGAGCAAGGTAACAATAGTGTTTGTATTCTGAGGGGGCGTGAGGATGTTGAAGTTCAGAAGGTCATCCAAGCTGTGATGTCAGCAAGCTTCTGGCAAGACAGTGACTGAATGAATGACAGTGAAAGTGTTTCGTTTTTCAATACATCCCACACCGGCTGGTGTGTTCAAAGAAAAAATAATGAGAAAAATAAAAACAGAGGCTAGAAAAAAAAAAAAAAGATTCCAGCAAAACCCCAATATGCTGGAGATGTATGGTCTAATATGTGGCTTCCAGAGATCAATTGTAAGACATGCAGGGTCATGTATATTGTAAGACATGCAGGGTCATGCATATTGTAAGACATGCAGGGTCATGCATATTGACACTGAGGGTAAACTGGACACAAAGTATCATACAACACTGAGAAGCTGCAAGTAAATAATAACAGTAAAGTAAAAAAGGACCCAGGGTAAATATAACACCAAGCAGAGCACCATAAATATAACACCAAGCAGAGCACCATAAATATAACACCAAGCAGAGCACCATAAACCACATCAAGTCAGCAGCATATTCAATATTAGCAAACCATACAGCATCATTCAAGAGTCTCAACAAATTCAAAATCAAATTTTTATTTCTTTGCAAAATTTACCATGTGTGAATTACATGTTATAAGGAGTCTATTTCATGCATAGTTTACTATGTGTAATTACAATACTGATTTGCAAGTGCAAAGAAATCCACTATCATGCCGAGGCATTTCAGGCAGACTAAACCATGTTGGTTATGGGTGTTGAATTTCAAGTTTCTGACAAGGTGCAGACCCAGAAATTTTCCCTAATTATGTTTAGCATACTGTTTAGCTGGCCCTCATTTGCTCTACTCCCAAACATAATGTAAGTTTTGTCAATATTAAGTTTAAGTTTATTAGTGGAATAAAGGAATCCTTCAGAACATTATGGAGTATGCAGTATATACTTGGCCAATTATCTAGTGAATAAGTCGCATGGAGCCAACACTGGTACAGCAAATGCAGAAGTTTGACATAGACCAAAGTTTTGCAAAGAGACAAGTACCAGAATTGAGAGGAATGCACTAGAGGGAGCAGCTGAAGCATATAAACCTGAAACCTTGTCACAGAGAAGCACTAAGGAAAACTTGATTATGACAAATTTTTAAGAGGAATTGATAGGGATAACAGAGTTAAGAGGACCAGAATCAAGAGGACACAGGTGAAGTTGAAGAAAAAACAACAAATAAGAGTTGACAGTAAAGTCTTGCAAATGTAGCTGAGTACACACACACATGTACTGATTGACCAGCACATAAGTAGCACCTTCAATAAAAAAAAAAATTACTATAAATACATAAATACATATGTAAATCTATACATGCATTTGCTCAATATCATGAGCAATATAAGCCAATATCTAACTTACCCCTTCTCTCTAAAATCTTTGAAAAATTAATTCATAGGTAGATCTATTCCTACCTCATCTCCCACAACATATGAAACCCATCAGTTTGGATTCAGGTCTAATAAAAACATGAATGCTATTATACACATGCTAGAACTAATATACACTGCTCTTGAGAAAAAAGAAGTCCCTCTGGGAATCATCATTGGTTTATTTAAGGATTTTGGTATAGCTGACCATGATTTGTTGCACGTAAAATTAACACGCATAGTTCCTTTGTATAAAGGCAAAGGGGATAAAGGAGAGTGCAAAAATTATAGGGGGATAAGTCTGTTGAGTATACCTGGTAAAGTGTATGGTAGAGTTATAATTGAAAGAATTAGGAGTAAGACGGAGAATAGGATAGCAGATGAACAAGGAGGCTTTAGGAAAGGTAGGGGGTGTGTGGACCAGGTGTTTACAGTGAAACATATAAGTGAACAGTATTTAGATAAGGCTAAAGAGGTCTTTGTGGCATTTATGGATTTGGAAAAGGCGTATGACAGGGTGGATAGGGGGGCAATGTGGCAGATGTTGCAAGTGTATGGTGTAGGAGGTAGGTTACTGAAAGCAGTGAAGAGTTTTTACGAGGATAGTGAGGCTCAAGTTAGAGTATGTAGGAAAGAGGGAAATTTTTTCCCAGTAAAAGTAGGCCTTAGACAAGGATGTGTGATGTCACCGTGGTTGCTTAATATATTTATAGATGGGGTTGTAAGAGAAGTAAATGCGAGGGTCTTGGCAAGAGGTGTGGAGTTAAAAGATAAAGAATCACACACAAAGTGGGAGTTGTCACAGCTGCTCTTTGCTGATGACACTGTGCTCTTGGGAGATTCTGAAGAGAAGTTGCAGAGATTGGTGGATGAATTTGGTAGGGTGTGCAAAAGAAGAAAATTAAAGGTGAATACAGGAAAGAGTAAGGTTATGAGGATAACAAAAAGATTAGGTAATGAAAGATTGAATATCAGATTGGAGGGAGAGAGTATGGAGGAGGTGAACGTGTTCAGATATTTGGGAGTGGACGTGTCAGTGGATTGGTCTATGAAAGATGAGGTGAATCATAGAACTGATGAGGGAAAAAGAGTGAGTGGTGCACTTAGGAGTCTGTGGAGACAAAGAACTTTGTCCTTGGAGGCAAAGAGGGGAATGTATGAGAGTATAGTTTTACCAACGCTCTTATATGGGTGTGAAGCATGGGTGTTGAATGTTGCAGCGAGGAGAAGGCTGGAGGCAGTGGAGATGTCATGTCTGAGGGCAATGTGTGGTGTGAATATAATGCAGATAATTTGTAGTTTGGAAGTTAGGAGGAGGTGCGGGATTACCAAAACTGTTGTCCACAGGGCTGAGGAAGGGTTGTTGAGGTGGTTCGGACATGTAGAGAGAATGGAGCGAAACAGAATGACTTCAAGAGTGTATCAGTCTGTAGTGGAAGGAAGGCGGGGTAGGGGTCGGCCTAGGAAAGGTTGGAGGGAGGGGGTAAAGGAGGTTTTGTGTGCAAGGGGCTTGGACTTCCAGCAGGCATGTGTGAGCGTGTTTGATAGGAGTGAATGGAGACAAATGGTTTTTAATACTTGACGTGCTGTTGGAGTGTGAGCAAAGTAACATTTATGAAGGGATTCAGGGAA